GGGGCTGGGGCTGGGGCTGGGGCTGGGGCTGGTGCAGGAGCCGGGTCTGGGACAGCCTGGATGCACGCGAGGATGTAGTATCAATAGAGTGCTCTGAGGTTGTTACTACCACCGTAGACACTGGTCTCGGTATGGATGTGACAGGGTCCAAATGTTGCTGCTTGCTACTCTCGCGTGCGAGTACTGCTGTACACGCTAGCATTCAGTGGATGTGTGTGTGTGGGGGGGGGAGGGGTGGATGCTATATATGGGAAAGACCAACCGGTCTACTAACCGTACGCAATTCTACCGCCACATGTTTACCACAGGCACCGAAGGTCGAGTTAGAGTAGAGTAGAGTCATTGAGAATTCTGGCATTTGGTACTGTCAGGTACTCAAAATCATTTGAGAGAGTAAATTGACTCGGAGTTAACCCTCTTAGAACCCTGCGTTTTTGAAAACAAAATATTGGACCCAAACCAAAAAATTGAACTTAGTTACACAGATGGATGTGTCAAGATTTTGGTCAAATAAAATGTCGGCATATTCGAGTCTAAAGCCATAGTTCTGGTGTTGTTCTAACCTACATAAGGGTAGGATCAGTAATGCTTACGGCGGGTTGATTCAGTGTGTCTGAGGGGAACGCACAGCAGCAACATGTGGGTGAGAACTCTCATGAATGAATCAGCAGCACGCACATACCCGTTTCCTTCTTCTCTCTTATCATATCTCTAGCACATCCGCAAAACCGAACAAGCAGACAGAAGGAAGCTGTTGTTGCCTGTAACTATCTTTGTGTTTTGGTAACACTGATGCTGCTGTGTGTGCGATAGAAGCAGCAACAATACATGGTATACAATAGGCTACATGGTGTACAATAGACTATCTAAGTTCATGTGTACAACGCACACGGCGTTTCGGCAGTACAGTACATACAAAAGTCTACATCAGGAGTGCTGCCGTAGCTACACAGTAGCAGCCAGCAGTCACATGGTGTATGTGTACAAGAGGTATCGGCAGGGTGTATGCAGTGTAATACAGCAGCACACAGCGGTGTGCAGTAGGTATAGGAGTAGTATTCGTATCGTACAGGTGTCGACAAGTCGACGACGCGTGCTAAAGAGGGTTAAATCGGGTGGTAATCGACGTTCGGCGCCTGTGATATTTACACACAACAGCAGTACCTGGTACATACGAACTTTGAAGTTTGAATGTTACACAACAACAGCAGGTACGGCGGTATCTACCTTGGTGAAGTAGCTGGAGATGCTCGATCTCCCCTCCATGACCTTGCCTGTAGAGGGTTTATTTACTCTTCTTCAGTTTGGGCCCCATTGCTGTTGTATGTGTGGTACGAAGCAAGGGGAGGGCGATGGCAAATGGGTAGACTCAGCGGGACCGTTTGGATGGGATGACCTTGATGTCCGTGAATTGAAACGATTTGCACCAGTACACGAGGCAAGGATTTGGCATTACGATCTCCATTCACTGCACTCGACCTCGGGACAGCAGGAGGGGAGGGAGAGAGACGACACAAGAAACGGCTACCTTGAGCTATGTATCTGGAGGGGTGAGGGGGATATGGGCCTGATTTTGACCTCGATATCTTCGTCACCTCGACGCCGACGGCATATATACACATGGCACACACACGCAGCGGGGTTCTCAAGGCTTGTATGTCTAATACTACGGTCTACCTTGGTAGACCCAAGCACGATTCAAAGTAAGGGAGGCACACATATTCAAAAATGCATCGAGTATGTTGGTCTTGTCACCTGCTGCTGCTGCCTTGCACCGTGCCTGCCGCTGGGTCACCCTCTTCTTGGCCACCAATACCGAAGGTAGTATCCACTTGTTGTTGACGAGTATGCTCCCGCCGCACCTTTGTGAATGTCTAGTCGTGTTCAAACGTTCGCGCACGCTGCTTGCGTCCCTTGTCCCGTGTCCCCGAACTCTCTCGCTCTGTCCCCTTTCTCCTTTTTTTTTTTTCCTTGATGTTGTCACAGCTGGCGGTGTAACAGATTGGCCAATCAAACACGTGCGAGTAAAAGGCCGGTAGATTTCTGCGTTCGTGCGTTCCTGCGGCTGTTTCACGGTGTCCGTACTGCTGTAGACAACACCCATCGACAACATACAGACCTCCGAACTTCATGTGCAGCAGAGTGACAGCGGTAGCAGCACTCCTGCTGTCGTATGTAGCCCCCATAGCCTCCCCTATAGCCTAACGGTACATTTGCCTGCTGTGTTACGTAGTCCGTTTCCATTCCTTCAACACTGACTGATAATTGTTGTCTACCTCTCTCTGTCTGCTCGGGAACAGAAATACTATAGTCTACAGCAGCAGTCATATTTAGTTGTTAGAGTCGTCCACAGCAGTCCAAACCACCCACCACACGAAAACGATCGGACGTACCATTCAGAGGGCTCGCTCAGGATGCCTCTCTCGGCGCTGCCCCGATGCTACCGTTGTGCTGACCGGAGAAGGTCAATCCATCAGCCGGCGACATCATCGAGGCAATCCTCATCGTTGCTCACGCATGGCAAATTTGAATTTGAAAATTGTGAATCTCAGGGAGAACATGCGGCTTCGTCGACCAGGGATTTTTCGCCCCTAGACTACTTTGAAACGGTCTTTAAAAAAAATGGCCAATCAGAAAACTGCGGGCACCTTTTCTCTCTCTCATACCTTTCTAGCAGCAGTCAGTCAATGTGGTGTGTGGTATGGACTTGCTGCTGCTGCTGCTGTCGTGTGTTTGTGGCGTTACTGCTGGTGCTGCTTCTTCTGGTGCTGTAGGCTGCAGAGCACATGAAGCTCCGACACTACTACTTGGTTGGGGCCAATCTACAAAAAAAAAGGACCCGAGAGAGCTTGATGTGTGGTCGCCGTCATCAGGTATTTATGTGGTGGGAATCCTGTCTACGCGATGATGGCTGATATCCCTTGGCTGCCGTGTTAGGTCATCGGTCAGTGATCCACGGCAGATTTGAAAATTTGAAATTTTTAAATCTCATGACCGTGGGTGACGTCATCGGACGACCAGGGATTTTTGCCCTTTCTTTGGAACGGTCCTTAAAAAAATTGGCCAATCAATTAATTGCGGGCACCTTTTCTCTCTCTCTAGTCTAGACGAGTCCAACATACAGTAGAACACATACACTATCATCATAGCCCTACACATACCCTCGCCCGAACCTAGAGAGCCATTGATGCAAAGGTGGTTGTGTGCTATATGGTGTGCTGCGTGCTTGTGGGAATTGTGGGAAAATCACAGGAGCTGTGATGAGCCGGCAAGGCTCACATTGAACCGCAGGAGGGGGTCCAACCCCCCCCTCCTATGTGACCCCGGTTGGGTCGTCTAGCTAGTAGAAGTGGAGGATAGGGGCCAGAGGGGCAGACGACGGAGTCCAATGATGGGAGAAAAACAAAAAACAACATTGGGGAGGGGACAGAGAAGTACAGAAGGTACAACAAGAACCAGCTGTGGGGCCCTCTCACAGACTAGTCTAATAGTTTTGGCTGCTTGATTGATTACTGATCTTTTCGAGGTCTAAAGCCCAACCTGCCCTACCGACCGCACCGCTACCACACATTATTAACCCTTCTTGACCCTGTACTGTATGTGCCCACCGTCCTAACTTGCCATCGGGAGAAGTGGCAAGTAAAGCACCGAGGAGATTTGTCTCTTCCGAAGTCCATGGCCGCTTGCCGAGGGAAGAGATGGTGGAGCCTCCGGCTCGCCCCTCTCGACCCTCTGGTCACTCTTTTTGTACCTCTCTCCTCGTCACATCTCACGAAAGGAAATAGCCACCCTTGGCAGTGGGAGAATACTGCCAGAGCACCGGCCTCTGTCTCTGACAGGGACTAGTGTCCTCACTCGACCAGAATATAATATAGTCTAAGTCTATTAGTCTATACCTTTAGCGCTCTACTACTGCTGTATTTGCCCTCCCCCAGCAGGTAACATGACGACTCCGTCTCGTCTCGGTCAATCATTCCTCTCCCTACCTATTGTATGAATTTGTCTCAGCACCCAGGCAACGAACAGCATAAAATCGATCGATAGAGTGAGATGGACTCGTTGGGTCATATTATTGATAAAAAAAAAAAAACGGGTACATTTTCGCCCATGTTACTTTGGATGCAAGTTGTAGTCACGTGACGGAGATCGAATCTGGTTTGATATTTGGCCGCCCCCCGAAGACATATTTAAGCTTGCGTCATGTTAGACGTGCCGTTTAGATTAGACTAACTACACAATACGGGTAGCTAAGGTGTCTGTCGTGGGCGTGTCCAAAGCGTTTGGGCAAACTCTCCAAATCAATAATAACTCCGTGTTCTTTGCCAACCCACACACAGCATCATGTACGTTTGTATGCATATGTATGAACATACATCGACATCCATTAGGAACGAACCTGGTACAGCATTATTGTCGTACACCGCTACGACTTTTCTAGGATACGATAGAACATTTATTTCTTACACACAGAGAGCAAAAAACACAGATCACTGCTTGCTGTATCCTGTCTTCTTCCTGTCTGTGTAGTAGTGCGAATGTCATGATGGATGGACGTGGAATCTTTGAATTGTTAAGGAGTGTTGTTGCTGTATGGCACAGATAGGGTACACAGTCGGTCTAGATTAAGATGGGGGACGTCAGGAGGTATACCCTCTTAGGACGTACCCCATCGGGACTTAGCTATCTGCGTGCCCCCAGGTTGAGGGCAATCCGCCTCACCTCAGACCTGTAGCAGACCCGCTTCTGCAATAACAAGCAACCTTCCCATCTCAACGTGCTCGTGGACAAGAGTGTCTACGGCAGAATCTACATCTACTACATCTAGGAGGCAAGCCACCGTCGGGCGGGCATTCCCTTAAACTTGGCGTCAGCGGCAGGGACGGTAAGAGAGAATTGGACGCGATTCTTCCCTTTTCGTGCGCCGAGGCACGCTTTGCTCACGACCACCACGTTGCTTGTTGTTAGGTCTCACCACCCACGAGAATTT